ATGTAATAAATATAAATATCAAAGGAAAAATATTAAAGAACAAGATTTTACAACAAAAGCTCCAGTTTTCAATTAGGGAAATAATGAATGGAAGTTCTGTAGAAATTGTTTTCAAGGCTTTAGTTAATTTCTTAAAAACCACAGGTTTATGTGTTAGGATTTAGAGTTTTTTGTTTTGTTTTGTTTTGTTTTGGGAGCCTTCTGGCCCACACTCCATTCCAGAAGGTGGCGGTAATGCACCTAAACGTTGTTTGCCAACCGCCATTAAACAACAACAGAAGAAGAAGAAGACACACCTGATTCAGATGATTGCTGTTCATCAAAAGCCTGCTAATCAGTTACCAACTGAAATCAGCTGTGTTGAAGCAGGGAAACATCTAAAACATGCAGCATGTAAAGCATGCATGTGTGCCTTGAGGTCCAGGGTTGAAAAACACTGCTCTAAAACGTTCAGGATACTGGCCCTCAAGGACCAGGACTATGTGGAGTTCCATTTGTGCCAAAAATATGTTGCTGAGCCTAGACACACCCGATTTAAAAAGATGTTTATTACACACAGCTACTTATGTTTGACAAATTTATCCCAGGCTTCAAGATACTGTAGCTTACACATATGGCTTTTCACAAATGTGTTATGTTTTTTTGGTGTCAGACAAAAAAACACAAAAATGGTGAAGAACAAAAAACTAGGAGGACGTCTCCTGTTCACAGAGCTTCCCTGACAGAGTCTACCTGCTAGCGTCGATTATCTTCCAGAAAAACCACCTAGAGAGCACTGCTGCACAACGGCTGATAGATTACAACAAAGARAAGGGGTTCCCGTTGCCTGAGGGCAGCTTCGGACAGCTTTTGAGCTGGCATTCAATACGCTCAAATGTAAGTATCTGTTAATGTATGGTTGTTTGAAAAGTTGCATCATAATTTATTATTATTGTTGCTCAACTGRAACCTATCTACATATACAGCTATAAAACTACAGCCCTCAAGCTTGACAGCATTTTCAAAGGGTCCAGCAGTGAGTCAGTTTACTAACCCTTGCTTCATACTGATTTGTTCTGGTTTTTTTTTTTTTTTTTTGGGTGACTTGGAAGAGGTTTCCATCACCTCCTGTCCTGATTTATCTGCAGTACTTTGAATTATTTGATTAAACCTATTAGATTTCAAGCAGACAAAACGGCCATTTCAAACGATAACTAATAGCTTTGGCAAAGTTATTTGACAGGCTGAATTGAATACAGATAGATTGATGAAGGGCATGTGGAAGACACACACACAGACACACACACAAAAAATGCTTGACTGACCGGACGTGTGAGGCTACAAATCAATTTTTCACATAATCTCTTTACTGGGACCAGGGTGGGGTCTGGGTGGCTGAAGTCACAGGGGTGTGTAATCYCATGGTGATAAGGGTGGGGGAAGCAAGCCAACTGCCACTGCAGGAAGGGAAGAAATCAGTTTGACATGTTGTCAGTGGATAGAGAGGTCAGGTATCAGGAACACCCTTAGAGCCATGAAGGATTTTCTTCATACTCACTATCTATCCACTAAAACCTGGATAATCCTCAGACCCACATGTTCCCTAGTTAATGGGATTCACCTCAGAAACATCCATCATCACAAGCTTCAGCATCTCGCTGGAGTAGCTTTTATCAGTTTCACAGCTATAGGTCCTAATACTTACATTAGCAGGTAAAAGTGAGCATTTACCCAACTTTTTATATATATAATGCATATATACA